TGTAGGAAATGATCACGGACCAGAGTTTACACATGGTAAGACCAGACGTACATGTAGGAAATGATCACGGACCAGAGTTTACACATGGTAAGACCAGACGTACATGTAGGAGATAATCATGGACCAGAGTTTACACATGGTAAGACCAGACGTACATGTAGGAAATGATCACGGACCAGAGTTTACACATGGTAAGACCAGACGTACATGTAGGAGATGATCATGGACCAGAGTTTACACATGGTAAGACCAGACGTACATGTAGGAAATGATCACGGACCAGAGTTTACACATGGTAAGACCAGACGTACATGTAGGAGATGACCATGGACCATGGATCATTCTGTAAAGAATGTTTTTCAATCAATCATATTTTATGTATTTAACCATTTACAACACTGAAGGCACTCAAAGAACTTAACAATAAAATCCACAGAATCCGTTACTTACTACTATTAAAACATTCATATGATTCAAAATTTTTTTAAATGTAAGAATGAGTGGTTTAAGAAGCAGCACATTCTGTTTGAGACGACGCCAACGTGATGATCCAGTGCAGATATATATGTTTCTGTTGTAAATACTCCCCCATGGTTACGCTCAGCCCGACTCTGCCTCCACGACTCCCCCTCGAGACCTAAACATTCTCCTTTACTGCGCTCTCTGTGCATTAAGACAGAAATGCACCGCGCTGCGTCTCCCAGGGCTAAAAATAACAGAATCCCTTGATATTGTCTGGGACTTGGATTCTCTTCTCACTTTGCCTTCGACATGTTTCTACAATCTGCTCTTTGTTCGGAGGATCCTGACGTGCCATACAACATAAACTGTCCTGCACTGTTGGGGCAGAGCCTGGGCAGAGCCTGGGCAGAGCCTGGGCAGAGCCTGGGCAGAGCCTGGGCAGAGCCTGGGCAGAGCTTGGGCAGAGCCTGGGCAGAGCCTGGTCAGAGCCTGGGCAGAGCCTGGGCAGAGCCTGGGCAGAGCCTGGGCAGAGCCTGGGCAGAGCTTGGGCAGAGCCTGGGCAGAGCCTGGTCAGAGCCTGGGCAGAGCCTGGGCAGAGCCTGGGCAGAGCTTGGGCAGAGCCTGGGCAGAGCCTGGTCAGAGCCTGGGCAGAGCCTGGGCAGAGCCTGGGCAGAGCCTGGGCAGAGCCTGGGCAGAGCTTGGGCAGAGCCTGGGCAGAGCCTGGGCAGAGCCTGGGCAGAGCCTGGGCAGAGCCTGGGCAGAGCCTGGGCAGAGCCTGGGCAGAGCCTGGGCAGAGCCTGTGACGGGCCTCGATCCCAGGACCCGCAGCCTCACCTCAGATACTTATTCAGTGTCTATCACCTCCGCGGCTGATGAACTGCTTTGGATTCGGGCGAAAACACAGCTCTTTAAAGTCATCGGGGAACTTACCGCAACGTTTGCTGTTTAGTGTCGAAGCATTTTTCACACGCGGAAAAAAATATACAACAAATGTTGTTTCTTGGATTGTAAAGTGCAATGATTAGGTTTGTAAATGTATGAATGGGTTCGACACCGATGATGAACTGTGGGGGATTAATCTGGGACGGGAACACTAACTTTATTTTATTTATATAGCACATTTCCTGAAGAAAACAGATTAAGTACACTCTCCATGTAACATGAAGATGGTCCCGTTTCCATGGAGACGCTGCGACAGTCAAAGCTCAGAGTTTATATTGTGTCCTTTCGTTTCCATGGAGACGGTGTTTCAGGTGTAAACGTTGAGAAACAGGCTCCAAAGTGAAACAGAACACTCAGAACACCTCAGCACTTCGTACATTTGGACGTAGTAGAACGTAAACAACAATGGCTAATGCTAATGCTAACGGAGGAGAATTCTACTCCTTCGTCCAAACCAAACCACAGCTGTAGTTTCACTTTCCATTTCCACTGCTGCTGTTACAGAATGATGTTGGTTCTTTCCCGTCTTTGGCCTGAGGAGGATGTTGTTGAGGAAGTGCTTCTACTGCTGGGGGTTGGTGTACTGTGCCACTGCCCCCTGCTGGCCGGAAGCTACAACTACATTGTTTTCTATCGTTGTCTAAACGCTGTGCACTTCTAATATGGAGCCTGATAGTTTTTACTAATTGCTTTGCAGCGTCTCCGTTAGGTTTACTCTTGAATGTGTTCAGGGTCTGAGTGGAGTATTCCATTTACAAGGAGCGTAATGGGAAAAGCCCCTTCTCCGCCCTCAGCCTCACACAGGGGACAGAAAGAAAGACAAAGCAGTGGATCCAAAATACTAAATGACTGTGGAGAGTTATACAGACCAGGATTTCAAAGTCCATCTGGGCCTGAACCAGGATCCAATGGAGGTCTCTTTGGAACAGACCGTGTCCGGAGCCGCAGGGTTTGGAGTGAGTTAGACGCTGGACTGATTTAAGCTGAAGACCTGCAAAGACCTGACAATAATCCAATCTTCCTGAGACAAATGCATGTAGAAGTGCTGGAGCATCTTTGGCAGAGGATTCCACACATTCTTCAGATGTTTTAAGTGAAAAGCACAGTCAGACTCACTCAGGATTCATGGAACGATCTGTCACAAAGCACACATCTCAGTCTTTTGTTGAGCCTCATTCATTGACCCACAATAGGTCACAAATATACCTCCCTCTCTGCTCCATGTGCAGAATATCAGGTATTTTTATTTTAAAGGCATAGCTACCGTTATGTCACTCCTTTCACTGCAAAAAGTGATGAAAAATAACTGAATAAATCGCTCAAAATTGGCAAAATATATCTGATATTGAGCACATTCTTTGCAAAGATTATTTTGCTTTGTCCAATTGGAGAGTCTGGTTTTAAAGGAGCAGGATGTAAACATGTGGCCAAAAGTGGTACTGCAGCCTCTCCCACTCTCCCTGACTCAGGTTGCCAGATATGCAGACGAATCCAGCTGGGACCATAACAGCTGAATAGACAAGAGTTTAGTCAACAACAAATCTATAACCAACACCTTTTTCACAAAGATAGAAATCCTGCTTTTATTCCTTGTTTTGTCGTTAATGATTTGAGAATCATAACGAGACCTTTTTTAGTTCTGCGCCACATGGTACTTTACCAGTGAGATTAGCTCCACACGGTGAGTTCTGGCGCCCGGATCACAGACTTTCTGATTGGTGAAACGGTGGAGGGCGGGACATCAAAATGAAAACAATAACAAGATTTAGGGGCAGGAAAAGTAATTTAGGGTGTATTCAGACCTGAAAAGTCCTTTGCTCCGCTTGCTTGATCCGAATCAAAAGCGGACCAAACCTTTTTCTTTTGCTCCGGTTCGTATTCAGACTGTCCTTTTTGCAAGTGAACTTTTTTATATAAACATATTGACACGTGTGACGATCGGCTCCTATTGGACAGAGAGAAAACATTGAGGGCTCGTATGTGCAGCATGTCTGCTCTGCCTCTGTTTGCAAACCACCTTCAACATCAACAGCAGCTCATATGACACAGGCAAAACACGTTGTTTTAAATATTGGAACAGAGTTGGAGAATGCGTGAGGAGAAAGCCGAAGGAGACTGTCCCACACATGGATCTATGATAATAACTCTGTCCCACACATGGATCTATGATAATAACTCTGTCCCACACATGGATCTATGATAATAACCCTGTCCCACACATGGATCTATGATAATAACTCTGTCCCACACATGGATCTATGATAATAACTCTGTCCCACACATGGATCTATGATAATAACCCTGTCCCACACATGGATCTATGATAATAACTCTGTCCCACACATGGATCTATGATAATAACTCTGTCCCACATGGATCTATGATAATAACTCTGTCCTACACATGGATCTATGATAATAACTCTGTCCCACACATGGATCTATGATAATAACTCTGTCCCACACATGGATCTATGATAATAACTGTCCCACACATGGATCTATGATAATAACTCTGTCCCACACATGGATCTATGATAATAACTGTCCCACACATGGATCTATGATAATAACTCTGTCCCACACATGGATCTATGATAATAACTCTGTCCCACACATGGATCTATGATAATAACTCTGTCCCACACATGGATCTATGATAATAACTCTGTCCCACACATGGATCTATGATAATAACACTGTCCCACACATGGATCTATGATAATAACTCTGTCCCACACATGGATCTATGATAATAACTCTGTCCCACACATGGATCTATGATAATAACCCTGTCCCACACATGGATCTATGATAATAACTCTGTCCCACACATGGATCTATGATAATAACTCTGTCCCACACATGGATCTATGATAATAACTGTCCCACACATGGATCTATGATAATAACTCTGTCCCACACATGGATCTATGATAATAACTCTGTCCCACACATGGATCTATGATAATAACTCTGTCCCACACATGGATCTATGATAATAACTCTGTCCCACACATGGATCTATGATAATAACCCTGTCCCACACATGGATCTATGATAATAACTCTGTCCCACACATGGATCTATGATAATAACCCTGTCCCACACATGGATCTATGATAATAACTCTGTCCCACACATGGATCTATGATAATAACTGTCCCACACATGGATCTATGATAATAACTCTGTCCCACACATGGATCTATGATAATAACTCTGTCCCACACATGGATCTATGATAATAACTCTGTCCCACACATGGATCTATGATAATAACCCTGTCCCACACATGGATCTATGATAATAACTCTGTCCCACACATGGATCTATGATAATAACCCTGTCCCACACATGGATCTATGATAATAACTCTGTCCCACACATGGATCTATGATAATAACTCTGTCCCACACATGGATCTATGATAATAACTCTGTCCCACACATGGATCTATGATAATAACTCTGTCCCACACATGGATCTATGATAATAACTCTGTCCCACACATGGATCTATGATAATAACCCTGTCCCACACATGGATCTATGATAATAACTCTGTCCCACACATGGATCTATGATAATAACTCTGTCCCACACATGGATCTATGATAATAACCCTGTCCCACACATGGATCTATGATAATAACCCTGTCCCACACATGGATCTATGATAATAACCCTGTCCCACACATGGATCTATGATAATAACTCTGTCCCACACATGGATCTATGATAATAACTCTGTCCCACATGGATCTATGATAATAACTCTGTCCCACACATGGATCTATGATAATAACCCTGTCCCACACATGGATCTATGATAATAACTCTGTCCCACACATGGATCTATGATAATAACCCTGTCCCACATGGATCTATGATAATAACTCTGTCCCACACATGGATCTATGATAATAACTCTGTCCCACATGGATCTATGATAATAACTCTGTCCCACACATGGATCTATGATAATAACTCTGTCCCACACATGGATCTATGATAATAACTCTGTCCCACATGGATCTATGATAATAACTCTGTCCCACACATGGATCTATGATAATAACTCTGTCCCACACATGGATCTATGATAATAACTCTGTCCCACACATGGATCTATGATAATAACTCTGTCCCACACATGGATCTATGATAATAACTCTGTCCCACACATGGATCTATAATAACTCTGTCCCACACATGGATCTATGATAATAACTCTGTCCCACACATGGATCTATGATAATAACTCTGTCCCACACATGGATCTATAATAACTCTGTCCCACACATGGATCTATAATAACTCTGTCCCACACATGGATCTATTATATTAACGGCCCTGTTCAGCATTGTGGATAAACCATGGATCTATAATAACCACGGTTAGGGTTAGGGTACCCTCGGTTCGGTTCTTTGGTCCGGACCAGGATTCGTTTGTGTGTATTCAGACCTGCATAAAAGCTTCGGATCAGAGTTCCAAACGAATCCTGGTCCGTTTAAAGTGGAGCAAATGTGCAGGTCTGAATACACCCTTAGAAATTCAAATATCTCTGAACTACTGTTATCAGTTAAAGAAGGATTGGAAAAGAGCAGTTTATTATGATGACCGATTAGGGCCCTTTAATGATGACAGATTAGGGCCCTTTAATGATGACCATTCCATTCCATTTTCCTCCGCTTCATCCGTTGCCGGGTCGCGGGGGCAGCAGTCTAAGCAGAGACGCCCAGACTTCCCTATCCACACACACTTCCTCCAGCTCGTCCGACCCCGAGGCGTTCCCAGGCCAGCTGAGAGACATAGTCCCTCTGTGTCCTGGGTCTTCCGCGGGGCCTCCTCCCGGTGGGACGTGCCCGGAACACCTCCCCAGGGAGGAGTCCAGGAGGCATCCGGAACAGATGCCCGAGCCACCTAAACTGGTTCCTTTCGACGTGGAGGAGTAGCGGCTCTACTCCGAGCTCCTCCCGTGTGACTGAGCTCCTCACCCTATCTCTAAGGGAGCAGCCACTCTGCGGAGGCAGCTCATTTCGACCGCTTGTATCCGCGATCTCGTTCTTTCGGTCATTACCCACAGCTCATGACCATAGGTGAGGGAGCTCTGACTGCAGACGCTGCTCCCTCTTCACCACAACGGTCTGATACAGCTCTGACTGCAGACGCTGCTCCCTCTTCACGACAACAGTCTGATACAGTGACCGCATCACTAACACGCTGCACTGATCTGCGTTGAATCTCACGCTCCATCCTTCCCTCACTCGGGAACAAGACCCTGAGATACTTGAACTCCTCCACTTGAGGAAGGACCTCTCCACCTGGAGAGGACCAGGACCTGGAGAGGACCAGGACCTGGAGAGGAGAGGACCTGGAGAGGACCATGGCCTCAGATTTGGAGCTGATGCTCTATGAAGAATCCCTCTCCCTTTAATAAACATGAATATCTAACATATTGCTAAGGCTGAATCAGAGTGTGGTCACATTTAGATTTAAGCGATTTTTAATGTATTTTTTCTCCCTTTGTGCAGCGTTGTTGAAGCTCGGGACTTAACAAACGTCTGTTGTTCCTGGTGCCGTTCTGAAGGATGGTGCGGTGGACGGGGCATTATCAGGATCAGGGCAGGTGCCGAAGCTCTCGTCTCCAGCTTATTGTTCTCCAATTACCAAACAGGCACGAGGGGTATCGCGGTTATTTATGGCCCTCACCACCTCAATGTACATATAATTACCTCTCACAGGCTGTAATTGTGCTCATTTCTCACGTCCGGTGGGAACTCCGCGCCCCAGCCTCCGTGGCGTCTCCATGGAGACGGGAGCGGCTGAAGGACACCGCGGGTCAGGGCCACGCACTGTTATTAGAGCTGCTTGTTTTCACACGTCCTGCGTTCGTAAAGTTTCATTTAAAAGCTTTCATCAGATCCACTTGGTCTGGATGGACTTTGACCCGAGGCTCCTAAACCAGCTCTGAACAGACTTTTATCAGACGTCAGAATGTTTCTGTTCTACAGGAGAAACTTAGAACATTCACATTTTGTTCATGTTTTTACTTGTGTATGTATTCAACTTGTTGTCACGTTATACTGGTATTTTATGTTTTCTTCTGCACTGTAGAAAATTAGCACCTGTTCATTAACACTTCCAGAATCTGGTTAGTTATTGTTATGCCCATGTTAAAGAAATATATTCATAATATAAATGTGACACTATTTCAAGAGACTTGTTCTTATATAGATATTTTAAACGGTCTGTCGGCCGTAATCATGTAGAACACATGGTGTATGTCATTTAGAATGTATTTGTATTTATTCATTTATTTGGTTGGGACGATGGGAGCAGTAACTGTGAATTTTCCAAATTTTAGCTTTTTACAGCAAATTTCTATCCGTACACACTCATTCAAGCCTCACTGATTGTACTTATTTTAATGGGTAATGGAAACTGGAGCACCTGGAGGAAACCAGTGAAGACCTTGAGGTGGAACCGAAACCAGGACCTTGTTGCCGTGAAGCACATTTGTGAACAACTGAGCCCTGGAGTTTTTATCATGTTTGGGTTTCACTGTTAGATTGACAAATACATGAACTTTCAAATGACCCTGACTTGAACCCAGAAGTTCATGGAAACAGTGAGTGGAGGGTGTTTGGTCGGAGGCTTTGATGGAGCAGTGTGTTCAGGCCTCTCTCTGTCATCACCGTGTGGAGAGAATGGAACTATATCTGAATAATGTGAAGCACTTTGGGAGACCTTAGTCTGTAACAACATACTGTATAAATAAACTTGTATTTAACATCTACTCAAATCAATACTAGGTTTATTCTGTAACGATGCATGTTCTTTGAGGTACTTTTAAACAATAATAAATCAATTTTATGACTTCTAGAGTAGCCTGGTCTTACCACACTATTGTACTCATTTCATTTCATTCTAAGGTCTGGATTTGCTCCATAGACTCTGATCTGAGTTTACTGTGACGTATGTAATGAGCCCGAGTGAGTCTTTTGCATTTAGCATGTAGCCTAGCTTTAGCATGTAGCCTAGCTTTAGCCTTTAGCCTAACTTTAGCATGTAGCCTAGCTTTAGCATTTAGCCTAACTTCACCATTTAGCCTAGCATTTAGCATGTAGCCTAGCATTAGCCGTCTCCTTTGCCGCTAACGGAGCCCGTGGGGAGTAGAGCCACAACATCTTTGCTTCAGTGACATTTACTAAACATTCCTCTTGCTCCGGCTTCAGTTTCTTGATATTTGGATTGAACCAGAACAGATTATTTTACTATCACATTCTCCGACAAACTACAACCAGCGAATTCAGCACAAACTCTTGACGTCACCGACACCGACCTACAACACCCGCCTCCCCCGCTCTCTGATTGGTCGGAGGAGATTCAACCGAGGAAACTGCAGCCAATAGGATCAGACCCAGACGTACATGTAGGAAATGACCATGGACCAGAGTTTACACATGGTAAGACCAGACGTACATGTAGGAAATGATCATGGACCAGAGTTTACACATGGTAAGACCAGACGTACATGTAGGAGATGATCATGGACCAGAGTTTACACATGGTAAGACCAGACGTACATGTAGGAAACGTCTAGATCATGTTGAACTAGAGAAGCAGGTGCAGACTTGTTCTTACATTTATATTATCACTAAAATATGAGTTTATTCATGTTTTTATCGTTGACTCAGCTGGTCACTGTCACTGACCCACGTTTGACATTTTAACAGAATCATTGCCAGATTATTGGAGTGTCTTTTGTGCGTCTTCATTCATTTCTCCATTTCCCTCGTTTGTTAGAAGTGGAGTGCATCGGTCAAGGGCTTGTTTTTGATCAGGCTCAGATTTGGATGTGCGCCGTGGACCGGGGACGCCACGGAGATGGACTGATGATTGAGGAGAGCGCTGAGGCCGTCACCGCCGCGGCGCCGATGCAGAGTGACAGTTTGTATGTGTTTGATCAATGGTGCGTAGCCCGGGGACAGCGCGGTGCAGGGCGCCACGGTGACTCCGGGACCTCTTTGTCAATCAAGTGGTCGACGAACCCCTCCCCATGAAATCCATTAAAACCAATTTAGTCGGCGCCGACCAGTTCTGAGCCGCACGCGCTCTCTGCCCGCGGTGAATTCATGATGGATTTTGAAAACTTTGGGAGTTGGAGTTGATTGCGCACTATTATTGTCGGTGTCATTCATTATTGCGCGGTGGGAAAGGCTCGCAGCGAGACATTATACCTTTGAACTCTTTCATTTAAAACACTGACTAAATGACTCTGCTTTAAAGAACCATGTATTGTATGGACTCACTGCGGCTAATGGTCTGTGTCTTAATCACCTGGTATTCATGAATCACTGTGACCCAAACGGACAAGGGTCCATGGAGAATGGGCGGCACAATGGCTGAGTGGTTAGCACAAACGCTTCTCAGCAAGAAGGTCCTGGGTTCAAATCCTGGTCGGAACAGGGCCTTTCTTAGTGGAGTTTGCATGTTCTCCACGTGTCTGCGTAGGTTTCCTCCGGGTGCTCCGATTTCCCCTACCACTAAAACATGCACAATAGGTCTGAATGTAAATGAGAGAGTGAATGA